AGAGAGAGAGAGAGAGAATCAGAATGAAAATGGAAAATGGGTAATGAAAATTTTAATGTGGCATGAAAACTGAACATATTTATAACCATTAGGATCGGTGCACATAACATGATTTAGTGTTTCTGTTTGAAAGCATTGGAGTCTTCGTAACCGCTTAAGGTCAATCATGTTACATTAGCTACACATTTTATTATTTTCTGCACAACCAATCTACTGCACGTTGATTTCGTACATGCCATCTGAAGTATACAGTTAAGAGTAAGTGATTAGCTACTTCAATGTTGTCTCATCCATTTCTGGAAAAGGGAAGAAAAAGAGATGTCTTATCACTTGAGATATCTAGCACAAATGTTACCATAAGACCGTTGACTGGTACTGCCACATAGAGTGCAAATGGTATCACTTCATAAAATAAACAATTAAAACACATCATGTGCAGCATGGTAAATTTGCATTATGGTTCAGTCACTTGGTTCATTAGGGTAACTACTGCTTGCTAGTCACTGCAGTTACACAATAGAATGCAAGCTCAACATTCTAATTCTTAGAAAAAAGGACTGGATTCCAAATCCAGATATCAAACTGAGCTAACAAGAAATTCCAAAAGATGGTTAACTCCAACAAGTCTTGCCCATTTAGAAAAATGATGGCTTATAAAGAAGAATCGAGTCCATACAATGCAGAGAGATCTTGAAGATTTGTGAAAAGGTCGCCAATAGACTGAGAGAGTGAGTTGTGGCTAGCATTCCTGCAATGGGAGAGACACCATCAGATCCCCCCCAATAAAAATGGTTCAAATCACACTGCAAACTGCCTCAAGATGCATAGGCATATGCCACTCACAGGTAATTGAGGGAAGTCATGCCAGAAATTGAGTATGGAAGATTCCCACTGAAGTTGTTGTTGGCAAGATTCCTGTATTTTGAAGGATGAGTCGAATCATATGGAGTAAAGAAATTTGTAATAATAAAAAATAAAAAAATACCAAATGCAAGCATGATGAAGACAACATAAGGAAAATCATCTTACAAGAATGTAGTATTTGGTGGTAACTGATAAGGGATGATGTCATGCAGGTTGTTGCCGCTTACATCACTATGAAAGAGAAATATATACATAAGAAAACAGCCTAAGATTATTTTAATGTACGTGAAATTTCAACACCATAGGAAAATAAGATATCTCACAGTGTTATCAATGATAAAAGCCCTGAGAGTCCATAACCCAACGTTCCACTTAATCCCAATCCAGGAATCTGGCTGTTGCATTGAGGATAAAAAGGGTTCAACAAAGCAAGGGTCACAAAAGCTTCTTCTTAATATAGCTGAAGAGGAGATGCTATTAAAAATTTCACATACAATGAAACGTGATTTATAAGCAACATTGAATCACAAAAGATGTGCACAATACTGACGTACATGGAAGTAACCGCTGTTCCAGAGCAGGAGATCCCCTTCCATGATTCTCCACATGGATCGCCACCATTTGATTTCCATCCCGTTAGCTGAACAGGATCATTCAGTGCATTGTACAAAATCTCAAGAGCGCCAACTGAAAAGACAAAAAGAATGGAATGCCAGTTGTTGGAAACCTCAGACCAAAATTGGCAAAGAGCATTTGCCACTTTCTTCAATTTATCTATACTTAAGCTCTCTCGTAATTAATTGAAATGTGTATGTCCTTGTCATCTTCTTCTTTTATATGTACAGCAGCAAATATCCAATTCTCTTTGCTTTCAATCAATCAAGGGTTAAGACACCCACAAAACAATCGGTTCAGTAAATTGAACCACTAAGTGGTTAATTTTTTAATATTAATACACAGAAAATGTCTTGGGATACCTCCCACATTATGATTTCTACCACTCTTTCCGAATGGTGATGACTAACTACTACAGCACACTCACTCCACCTTTTTCTAATAGATAACGGGAGACATAACAATTACCAGTTGCTACATGAATCAAAACTAATATCCAATGAGTAAGTTAACCAGATTCCAAAAACAAATGTGTAAAAACAAAAAAAAACATACAACACCCATTAAAGAGCTAATGAAAAAAGAAGACAGAGTGGTAAAGAGAGGATGGGAATGCCAGTGTATGAACATGCAAATATTAATATTCAATCCGAACAAGGTGGCTCTGTGCAATGAAAAACAAAACCCAAAGAACATAAAGACTAATGGCAACCAAACGGATGTAGGAAAAAAGACAGAGTCAGGAGATGAATGCTCAAAATGAGTGCATGCAATATGAAACTTTCCACATCGTCGATCTACTGAGGTATACCGATCCGCTACTCACAGGATATGAACAGGAAACTTAAAAAAAAATAGACTGGATTGAATGGTCATGATCTCCTACATCCCATGCTTTCAAACCACAATATACCTAAATAAAGAAAAAGCTAAAAATAGAACCAAAGAGGTGGTAGATAATGAAATAACCATCAGACTGATCGGTGGTGGGATGAACCGGCAAAAACAGCAAAGCAAATGTCACAAAGAGGCCAAAGTATTGATTGCAAACCAGCTCATCTCCCATCATTTTTTTATCTCTTTCCGCCCGGGATCAGGGGAATCTTCTATTCCTACCAAAAATGCGAAGCATTTCTTCTCACAATGCCATGAAACTCAGCAAAACACTCAGAATAAGAGCACCTTCAATGCATTATGACAGAGGGAAATGAGAGCAGTTAAGACATTCATAAGAGAGAGAGATTTGTGTTGTGTAGCTTTATAGGTGTGATGGAAAAGTGCTTATGAATGGGGTTTATGTGAAGATTGCAGGCATGGAGTGTCGGCAGGGAAAAGGATGGGTTGCGAAGAAGCAAGGAATGCTGCGCCGCGTTTAAAAACCCTCCTTTTCCTGCTCTCTCTCCTCTCTCTTCTTTCCAAGAAGAATGAGAAGAAGGAAAAGAACGAGAGGAAAGGCGCGTGCATTTATACAACCACTGTCGCGTGTCGACTGAGAGAAAATTGCAGTTTAAAATTTTAAATAGAAAAATTAGAGTGAGAGATAGGAGTTGGAGGCAGCAGGCAGGTGTTAGCTGACCGTGGGTCCCACATCAGCTGAGTGACACAAACTTAAGTCACTTAACTCTCACCGTCCCTCAACAAACTCCTTTCTTTACTCTTGTCGAAACGACTTTCCAGTTTAAATTAGACTCCATGTCAATCAATCGTTAAGAACTTAAGATAGATAATAGGGCGGGTATAGGGCCGTCCCGCTGGACCACGCTTTATATTCTACGCCCTCGGGCTGTTTAGGAGGTTTTTGTTCAATTCAATGTTTAATATCCACTTCAATATCATAAGTGATTTAGAGCCTAGGCTCTAAACAATCAAATTAGAGCCTACCTTCAAGGCTCTAAACAATCAAATTAGAGCCTACCTTCAAATAGTGCCGTGAAATGTAGTTTCAAATTTCAATATTGAAAATCTTTGTGACTTAAAAAATAAACTTGAAAATTGACGGTCCAAAATATACTATTTCTAAAACTTGAAATCCATTTTTTTCTTATGTCCATGCATGTTGATGTCAAGATGATCAATTTGAGGATATTTAGGCATAAAAACAACCTCTTCTAGTGAAATTTTTTACGTGGGCTCTAATTTGATTGTTTAGAGCCTCGGCTCTACATAAACTCT